TATATATATATATATGGAAACTTTGCTAAATTAGTTCGCACTCGTATTACTCTATTGCTTGACTATCGATATACATACATACATCCATACATACATATACATATGTATATATGTATATATGTATGTACGGATGTATATCGATAGTAAAGCAATAGAGTAATACGAGTGCGGACATAATTTAGCAAAGTTTCCATCTGCGCGTCGTCACGCTCCCTTCATTCTTCAGTGGACACGATGTCTCATCTTCCAGGTACTCCTGCGAATGTGAGCCCGGCTTCACCGGTCAGCATTGCGAGACCGACATAAACGAGTGCGCGAGCAACCCGTGTGCGAACGGCGGCCGTTGCATCGACGTGATAAACGGCTTTAGATGTGAGTGCCCGCGTGGCTACTACGACGCCAGGTGTCTGAGCGATGTCGACGAGTGCGCGAGCTCACCCTGTTTGAACGGCGGCACTTGCGAAGACGGGGTGAACCAGTTTATCTGCCACTGCCTGCCCGGTTACGGCGGCAAGAGGTGCGAATCGAATATTGACGAGTGCGGCTCGAACCCTTGCCAGCACGGTGGCACGTGTAACGACCGTCTGAATGGCTACAGCTGCAATTGTCTACCGGGCTATACCGGCACTAACTGCGAGACCAACATCGACGACTGCGCCAACAACCCCTGCCAGAACGGCGGATCCTGCATCGATCTCGTTAACGACTACAAATGCGTCTGCGAGCTGCCTCATACCGGCAGAAACTGCGAAGATAAACTGGATCCCTGTTCGCCGAACAAGTATGATTTTTTTCTCCCCAGTTCATTTACATAAAGATATGTGGATGTAACTAGATTTGCATATCGTTGGAGAGAGAAACTACTCTAAAATTACTCTTGATTATGTCATATTCCATCAAGAGCATAATATTCAGAGTATTTGAAATGTAAAAATGCGTTTTTTTATTGAATTTAATATTATACAATTTAGTTTTCTATGAAGAATTTAAAATCTTAATTATAGAATTTTAGGACATCAATCGCTTTTGAAAAAAAAAAATCATTTCGAATGACTTTGTTTTAATGTAAAACGTGTGCATTTACAAATTGCAATTAACTTTGTGTAAAATTATTGTTATACTTCAACTTATGATATTGTCATTTTACATGGTAGCTCTTCAAAGCTCTTATTTTTTTCATTGTACGTTGAATTACGGTGTAGTGAGGAACAGAATCTTAGGAGCTCTTGTTTAATTTTGATAGAATGTATGATCCACATGATAAAACGACTTTGTAACGTTGCTGTGTCATTTTCAGATGTCTTCATGGAGCAAAATGCTCGCCATCATCAAATTTCCTCGATTTCGCATGCACATGTACGGTCGGTTACACGGGCAGACTGTGCGACGAAGATGTGGACGAGTGCGTGATGACGTCGCCGTGCAGAAACGGTGCCACTTGCCGGAACACCAATGGCTCTTACCACTGCGTATGTGCGAAGGGCTACGAGGGCCGTGATTGCATCATCAATACCGATGACTGTGCATCATGTGAGTACGAACCACCGGCAGTTCTTTACTTTTTTTTTTTCTCTTACTTGCTACAGATGCAGATCTTTCGCTTTCATTTGAGTGCCATAACGCGAGTCTATAGAGCGTCATCTGTTTTATCGCGTGATGACATAGATTAAATTAAACGCATTTAATAAACATCACTGTATGACACTCAAAGAGAATTTCTCTGTTCACAGTTCCCTGTCAGAATGGTGGCACCTGTCTGGATGGCATCGGTGATTATACTTGCCTTTGCGTGGACGGTTTCAGTGGCAAACATTGCGAGATCGACATCGACGAATGCCTGTCGCAGCCGTGCCAGAATGGTGCCATTTGCAAGGAATATGTCAACTCCTACACATGCCAATGTCAACTCGGTTTCTCTGGTATTAATTGTCAAACCAACGACGAAGATTGCACCGATAGTAGTTGCATGAATGGCGGTACATGTATCGACGGTATCAACAATTACACATGCGTCTGTAAGACTGGCTACACAGGCTCGAATTGCCAATATCGTATCAATGAGTGCGATAGCTCGCCTTGTCAAAACGGCGCTACTTGTCATGATCACGTGCAGTACTACACATGCCATTGCCCATATGGCTACACAGGTAAACAATGCGACAAGTATGTAGACTGGTGCGCCGATAATCCATGCGAGAACCAGGCGACGTGCGTGCAGCACATGAATAAGTATCATTGCAACTGTTCACCCGGATGGACCGGCAAGGTGTGCGATGTGGAAATGGTTTCGTGCAAAGATGCTGCCATACGGAAGGGCGTGCCAGAAAAGAATCTTTGCAATAATGGCACCTGCGAAAACATAGGCAATAGTCATCGTTGTCATTGCCTCGATGGTTACACTGGCTCTTATTGTCAGGAAGAGATCAACGAGTGCGACTCGGCGCCATGTCAAAACGGTGCAACTTGCAAAGATCTCGTTGGCTCATATCAGTGCCTGTGCACTAAAGGCTTCCAAGGTCAAAATTGTGAGCTTAATATTGATGATTGCCGACCGAATCCTTGTCAGAATGGTGGAACCTGTCATGATTTGATCAATAATTTTACGTGCTCCTGTCCACCTGGCACTCTTGGTTTTATATGCGAAATCAACATCGACGACTGCATGATGATTTCTTGCCACAATAATGGCACTTGTACCGACAAAGTGGGCGGCTTCGAGTGCAAATGTCCACCAGGTTTCGTCGGACCAAGATGCGAGGGTGATATTAATGAATGTCTATCGAATCCGTGTAATCGGCAAGGTACTTTGGATTGTGTACAATTGGTCAATAATTTCTACTGCAACTGTAAACATGGCTATAGTGGCCCGCTCTGCCAACACAAAGTGGATTTTTGCGATAGCTCTCCGTGTCAAAATGGCGGCGCATGCAAAGCAGGCGGACGTAATAAGCACGATAAATACTCTTGCGCTTGTCCTGCCAATTATCATGGTCCTAATTGTGAGTTTGCCGGCTCCTACTGCGAATCTCAACCATGTCGCAACGGCGGGACGTGTCACATCGTCGGAGATAGCTATGAGTGTTTCTGCTTACCTGGTACGACGGGTATGAATTGCGAATTCGATATCTGGAATGAATGCGAAAGACGTCCATGTCGCAAAAATGCTCCTTGTATAAACAAAATCAACGACTATGCCTGTGATTGTCCTCCCACATGGTCCGGCAAAAATTGCGAAATATTTGACTTAAATTATCCTGGTGGCGTATTCAATTTAAATATGTCCAAAAACACAAATATCAATGATCTTAATTCGGAGCGCGAGCGCCAGAAGTGCATTGAAAACCAATGCAGAGAAAAGGCCGGTAATTATCGCTGCGACGAAGAATGTAACAGCCATGCATGTAACTTTGACGGTAATGATTGTTCTTTGGGCATCAATCCGTGGCGCAACTGTACCGCGCCTATGAGATGCTGGGAAGTATTCATGAATGGCGTGTGCGATGAAGTCTGCAACAACCCACAATGCCTCTTTGATGGCAGAGATTGTGAGCGAAAACTCCCTCCTTGCAAGTGAGTATTCTTATCTTTTTTCCTTACATGATACTCATTATATACATTAAAAAATTAATTATT